AGAGCAACTATTAAAAATCCTTCATTTTCAAGCTTATAAAAGTGTGAGGGCAAATTTATTTCCATTTTATTTCTCTTGATTAAAGGGTTAATTCTAGTAGTGTGGCCTATTGAGCTAGCCTAGAGACCAAACTTCCTTTCCAGGGGACAACAAGAAAAATGTTCTCAAGAGAATGAGCCTGAAATCCACTGTTTCCCACAAGGCTGTTATGAATCTATGTGTAGATTTCAAAATACTACCTTGTGCCAGGAGATTTCTGTTCCCCTGAATGCCAGCTACTCTCATCAGAATCAGCTCAGACAGGTGTCTTATATTGCCTGTTCCTCTCAGGAACCATTTTTTATGTTCCATATAGCAGCAGCAGCAGTTCTTCCTCCCCTTTGTATAGCAGTAGTTCTACATACCCTTCTAAACTTCTCTATCTCCTAGAGACAAAGAGAAGTCTTTGACAGACCCTGGGCCCATTCAGAGAATGCCACATTAACTTCAGTATTGAGTTTTAAGTGCTTCATAGTAGGCCATTATAGTTTCAAAGGAACTGTAACTACCCTGTGCATAAAGCTCAGGGGTCACATGACAGAGACACATCCCCTCCTCTCCCTCTCCAGCTCTCTTAAATCATCAAACAAGATTATCCTGAAATGATCAAGCAACAAGAGAGGCTGCAGCATGAGCCTGCAGCCAGAGCAGCAGCGCACGCCTCCATTTCCTGAACAGTGCCACAGCTACCCTGCTGCTCAAGGTGCCAAGTACAAGCACAGCTGGACAGTGAACCAGGCATTTGTGTCGAATACATGGGATTCAGGAGGTAGAGAAAAGCTGGAATAGGAACAGGGAAGCTGCCAGCAGGACAGTAGGAGATTAATACACAAGATTTGACAGGTCTCCAAGTAATTAAAGAGTTTAGTGAAAGAGCTGTACCACACATTACCAAGTATTTCAATGAGGATGAAGATAAACTAGATTTATGACAACCTAACTATATTCAAATACATTGTAGATTACTACTAAGATATATAATAAGCCTGCTTGAGAACTCCATTTAAAAGCTAAGGAAAAATATAGCTAAATACAGGTGAGTGTCACAAAGTGGGGAAGTGGCTGAGAAAGGGTACAACAGTTCAACAGTTAGAAATGTCTTTAAATATGGTAATCCCTCACTCTTGCCAGCAAGCCCTAACAGCCAATGGAAAGCACAAGTTTAGATCTCCAACTGGTTTAATTGCACTTTCCTAGTTTACAACCACAGGAAAAATGATCCTTTCATCTGTACTTGATATCCGTGTTCTACATCTTACAACTTAGCCCAGCTTCTCATTAGGTAAGAAACACTGCACTGCCCTTAAGAAAGCTGGCTGTACAGAGCTGCCTCTGTCCATCTTCTGAAGGGTGACAGAGGCATTCTCCATGAGAGGAGGAAAAAGAGAAAAATCAACTTCTACTGACTTTCTGACAATGCCACAGAACTTCATCTCTTCTGATGCCCATTTTGAAGACACTTAGATCAAAAAATAAAAGAGCTTCATGACTTGAGTCAGAGAGACAGTTTCTTTATTGCTTATAAAGATACAGCACTTGCCTTATAAGCTGAAAATTCTGACTCTACTCCCAGCAAACAACTCACCCACTTAATTATTTAGGGTGTATATGTCTGTTCACTTGTGCACAGCTGTACAACAGTGAAATCAGCTCTTAAAATACATGGGGACAGTCCACAGGACTGTTCAGAATTTGCAAGGCCATTACTACCAGGTTGGCTCCAAAAGAAGATTCCTCCCCCCAAAAAATACAACTAAACCAATTTAAGTCTCTCCACAGTGTGGAAAACTTGTATTTGAATGGTGAATTTTGAGAATTTGCACAGCCATTTTGACAGAGTGGCTGCTGCAGACTATCTCCCCCTGCAGTCTGAAGTGTCAGAACCACACAGCCATTCAGTGGCACCAATACAAAGGCCTCTGATTAAGCGTACATGATATACCGGAACCAGGTACAGCTGTTCAGACATCAGATTGCTCCTTAAAGTGACAAAATGTTAAAAAAACCTCAACACCAATCTCCTTTTCTACTTCATTAAATTATTAAGTAAATAAAGCTGGGGATCTCAAAAAACAGGAAAGATTATCCCCTGAACTCCACTGCTAGAGGAGCTGCTATAAATTAACCCTTATTTCAAACTGTTATGGAACGATATCATTTGCTAACAGCACTCAGGAAATAACAATTCCACTTGGATTAAATTTCAATATGATTTGAAGCTCTGAATTAAGGTGCACATCTAATCTTGTCAACTCCAACCAAAAATCTGACCAAACTAGCTTGAGGACCAAGACAGTCAAGAACTGTGAGTCTTTAGCTAAGGCTGAGGCAGTGCAAACTAGATTTTTTTCATTGTGTTACAAGTATACAGTTAGAAAAACTAAGTTGTCCTGAACACCACTGGAAGTCTCTAATACCTTGATCTTAGGTCAGGTTAATGCACTGTTGAAATAGTTGTGGCAGTTTGAGACATCACACTTCCTCAGCTGCTGCCTCCCTAAGTTTTCTACCAGCAATCTATATCCCAGTAGCGTAAAGTGTAATGGTCTGAGCACAGTCATGTTTCAGAAGACCAGATTAGTTGTAGATGAAAGTGGTTCGAGGAGTTTTTCAATGAAGAGGTTGGTTCCATGGTCTAAATCTGCGCTGCTTGGTTCCCGTCTTCTTTTCACCTTGACATTTCATTCATTGCACCTCCCTTTTGCCAGTCCTAGCACTCAGATAATGCAACAGTAAACCAATCCAGAAGCTACAAAAGCATTCATACTTTTTTTGACAGGGAAGCAAGCGTCTCACTTCCTAAGGACAAGAGACAAGAGTGATCTACACCTCTCGTTTAGCCTATCCAGCTATTTCAGGAATGCTGTGAGCTGCCCAGATATAGAACTTCTGGCAGGGCTCACAGGTGATATAAGGTGAGATTCATTCAGCTAAAAAGTTGCCAACTGCAGATATACTTCATGTAAGAACTCCCCTGAGTTAGGGATCTTCTGTGCTGGCCTGTTATATCTGCACTACATCTATTTTGCATGAGAGCCTCCCATTGCAGCCAAGAGAGATCTGAGCCACGGTGCATAAGCATTTATTCTGTCTCACCCAGCATGCATGTGCATGTATACAGGTATATGTGCACTTGGAAAGACAGTATATTAGAAAGGGTGGTACAGAAATTTCTATTCACTCAGTAGAGAGGGAAGGGAGATGAAAGAGGGGGAGAGAAAGAGGTTTTAATTCCTTTTCATTCTGTACAGAATGAGCCTCAAATCAACTCTACTTCAGGTGTTCTGCTCAACCCTCCTTTGAGAAATGTTAACATTACGATTGAGATTCTATTAAGGCCATTATTCATACCGGCAGATTCCAAATAAAACTGACATAGTGTATTTTTCCAATTTTACTGCCCTTCAATTACTTCTCCCAATCATAATCCATAGATTCACTGCTGGAAATTTCTATTTACAATACAGAAATAAAGCTCCATGCCAAACAGTGATTGAAAAGCAATTCTCACATTGATATATTTAGCCAACAAAGTTCTTTTAGACATTTCACTGCTATCATGTCAACATTAGATGGCAGCAAATAACTGTAAATTAATAAAGGGCAAACATTTAGAAAACTGTACTAGGGTGACAACTGTACAACACAAAGCCCTTCAAACTGCAGATACAGCCCTATCATCTCAGAGAACCTTTACCTCAAAACAAACAAAAAACCCAACCAAACCAACCAACCAAAAATCAAAAGAACACATCAAGTGACATCCAAGGTCAAACTTTAAAGCAAAGAAATAAACGTCTTAAAATGATGTTATATGGGAACTTCAAAGCTATCAAAGGAAGCAATTTAGTGACATCATGAGAGCTTGCCTACAGAGTACTACATGACTGTTAACACCTTCCTTCTCCTTCTGCAATAATTACGAGTTTGTGTAACTTCTACAACTATACTGCACTTTAGCACTATTTGCCAGAATTTTAAGATATCAAAGATGTATTAAGATTAAATGTGGCTGGCATAAGTTTCACTCAGCAGTGAAGAACAAAGAGGTTGCAAAGCTTTAGTGAAATAAGTGTGAAGGACGATAAGTGACTGCTGGTATAAAATACAAAAGATTCACCAGAATGGAAGAGGCTGACTATGCTGCTTCTGAGCATTTTCTACATTGTATCCCACTGCTTGACATCACGTCCTCAAGGTTTTCATTAAAGGCCACTGAACCTCTGGACCATAAATTATCATCTTTTATTTCCTGGATGAAACAATTTAGCTCTGCTAGAAGACGCAGCTGGAGGCATGTCAACGCTAGAGGGGGGCAGAGCATCACACCACATTAATACATACTGCATTCCCTTCTGATGGGTGACAACTAGAAAAACCACTGGCCAGTGGAAGAATTTGGGATTCCCAAACTTACTGGACTACTATGGTGTAAGTGAATGCAAGACAGTAATTTTGTTAGAAGACATAATAAGCACACTAGCTCATTTCACTAATGTGTGTCACTACCTTTCATTAGAGCTTTGGAATTTCAGGAATTTAATCTAACTAGCCGACTAGTATTTACATGGGGATATAATTTTTTTTTCAGCTCATTTTAAGTTGCAATACTTCTCAAGAGACATCAAAGAAGGCAAGTCTTAAAAATACATCCCACCAACAACTTAGAATGTTGAAAGACGGCAGAGATGCCACCCAGGAAGACAGTGCATATTATGCCAATACACTCCTGATATTCCTTTGGGCAAAAGACCGTTTTTTAATTCCCATTTCAGTGCCTGACACAAGTCGTTGTTACCCAGGTTACAACTCCAACATAACACCAGAAACTATTAAGTAACAACACGGAGAAAATTGGTAAAAAGAAAGTAAGAGTAAAGCCTGTGGTAGGTAACCACTGAGCACAGCTTTTTCACTGCATGGGATCGTGTCAATTTGTATAGAGTAAATTGCCAACCTACCTCCTTTCCGCAGCAGATAGATGGGCACAACATAAAGCATCACATGTTGGATGTAATATATTTCCATTTCAAATGGAAGCTGTGGAATAAGGAAAATATTTGTAAATGTTTTTCATCACTAACAACTGAGTTACAAGGCACCATTTTCCTTATGGCCCATGACAATCCTTTCAGTTCACTTATTTTATCACCTATGCATAGAAACAAAGAGGTGAAATTAATAGTCAGTGCTTTGAAAGCGCACCTAACTGTACCCATTCCATTCCCCTTGCCACAAATGCAATGCAGCACTTCAACTAGACAATTCTCAAAATTACCCAAAAGCGCAAAAAATAAGGAATAACTAAGATTGCTCTTTTCCCTTTCTTAGTTAGCATAAATTACCAATAATGATGCAAAACTCTCAGGTAATCAAACCAGAAACTATACACACCCCATATGACAGTAGCCTGTTTAGAAGGAAAAGGTTATTGCTACCTTGCAAGTGATAGAGCTCTATATATATTTATATACTTTTATATGTAAAAGTATATAAATATATAAGAGCACTGAGGAGACCCGTGCAAAAACCAAGACCCGATTTACAGCAATCTGCATGCATGTGTGAAACCGCTAAGCTTCACCAAATATAAGATAAAATAACCAATATTTTATTGGCTTTAAAAAGAACCTGCAGAAGGATGTATGTAAACAAGTTACCACTTAGCAGAAAATTAGGTATTCCTCACCTGCTGACAACTTTTGGGAAATTACAATTAGTCATTTGCGATTAGTTAGTTCTCCTCTAAGAAGTAACATGAAGTCAGACAGACTGTGCTAAAATAATACTGTGCTAAAAACAACTTGAACCACAACTCTGAGCCCCTTAATCCAGACCCAACTAATTCTAGCTCTTTATCCATTAGAAAAGGTCACGCATTGTATTTGAAAGTTACTCCTACCTGCAAATGTCTTTGCCTATATCTATTTGTTAAACTAAAGCAACACATTTAAAACTGAACAGTAGTAGAAAAGATTTAAACTCAAAATTCAGAATTCAACTTCTTGCTGCAGCTCACTTACAAAGCTGAAAAGACATACTTTTCCATTATTTTTCATAAGCAAAAACTAGACAATACCACCACACAAGGATGAAATCTCACAGGAAAAACACAAAGCCATTAGCTTTGGTTCAAATGCAAACTCATTCCATCATTCTACAGGCTAAAGTGAATCCAGACACAAGTCCTACCATCATGGCTTGTCTGTTGGGAAGGAGGTGGGGGGGGGAAGCCTTCCTTTTCTATTATTGTTCTGAGATGCTGAAGTCATAGCATTGAAACAGAAACATTACAAAAAATTTCTGTATCAACACAAGTAAAGAGAGGTTGAAACAAAGTTTGGTTTCCTTCCTAAATAGCAGTCAATAAGCAGCTGGTAATTAATATAGTGACCTTAAATTCAACAACAATTCTTATATGCTATTTTGAATGTAAAAGATGATAAAACCTACAGCCGGATTCTGCTAGTCCTGGCATCCCCCAGCTGAACATTCTCAGTGTTCTGATTGCAACCTCCAAGATATTCAGCCAACTCTTGGGAGACTAAGCTAAAAAAAAAAAAAAATCTTCCATGCCATCTGTTGTTTGTTATTTTATTCCAAGTATTCTGTATCAAAACATAAAACTAAGCAAGATAATAGTATGCAAAAAGCAAGAACTTCACAGAAGTCATGACGTTTCCTGAATCTGAACCTTTTCTGCTGTCCCTTGTTGAAAGACACAGAGGGCAAAGTGAGGGAATCAAAACTATTTGGAAAGAGGCTAAAGCAGTTTCCCTAACTGGAGAAAAAGCTGTACCTCTCCCAGTTGGAACAAGCACACTTCAGAAACAATAGCTCCTGATATAAACAGCACAACATGAGGCACTCACTCCTGCCAAGGAGCATTCTCTATTTAGTAGCTGTGGTTTCATAAGGGCTTCTACACTCGCTGAGTTGTGAGGGTCAGTCACACAAACACTATGCTCAGGACACTTCCGAGAACAGAGTAACAGTTGTTTTGCTGCGGTAGTGTTGACAATTTTTTTTTGTGTGTGTGTAAAACAAAATATCCTTTTTTCCACTAGAAAAGATTGCTTGTTCTGAAGCCTGAGTAATTATGCAAGTGCCTTTTCTGGTATAGAGCTGCAAAAGCAGAATTTCTGTACAACCAAGCACTCAAGTTGTACAGCCAGGCTACAACAAAGAGAAAAAAGAACAAACACAAAAGATGAACTATAAAGCTGCACTGAGCAACTGACTCATCTAGCTCTCAAAGTCTTGTCTGTAAATTGTTTTATCAATAAAAGACTCACTCACAGATAGCAAATAGGTACCTTTTATATGCAAAGAGAAACGGAAAGTGAAGATAAGGTAGAGGGGATCACTCATCAATCTAGGATGTAAAGAACCTCTTTGTGAAAACAAGTAAGAACTTCAGCAAGTGGTACAGTTTGAGAAAGTAAAAAAATCAAAGCAACACTTACTCACAGAACAAAATAAGTCAGAATACCGAGTTGGTCCCTCTAATAATATTTGACCATAGGCACCCGTGAAGGCCACATGTATTTAACCCCAGACTCCAACAGTCTCCAAAGTGGACCCACTTCATAGGCCCCAACAGATGGGTCCTCTGCTGTCCAACGCCACCGTGGAAACCCAGCAGCCACCCTGCAGAGCAGTATTTCCCTAGTAACAAACCAAGGATGTTCACAGCACATTTCTTCAACCACATCTGTCCCCAGAGATTCAAAATCACTGGATATTTGTTACCAACACAGACTCATCTGAACTCTGCATACTGTCAATTTATTTGCTGGTTTTTTATACTAAACACTCATTTCCCTTACCAGCATCACTCTTCCTGCATTTCATCTAGTTTTCCCATACGCAGAATCTTAAAACAACTAATGGTACAAGACAAAAGGACAAATTACCTATTTCTTCTACTAACTTATCTTCTAAGCTCCCTTAACAGTATAAAAGAATACAGAGGACAGGCTACTCTATTACTCAAGAGAATAGGTAAGTTTTTCTCCTTTAAATATTCTTACTCGTGGCAAAACAAATCTGCTTCATCCATTCATAGGTTTTAACATCGGTATAAAATCAGTATGTTTTGAAAAACACCAAACTAATACTGACATGCACAATTCCTCTAATATACAAGATCAAAACGTGCTAACAAAGTACACTGGAAATGAATATTCAGACCATTCATTTTTTTACATTTTGTAATTAAGTTTCTGTTAAAAAATAAATGGTGTTTTGTTCCTCCAGCAAGCGTTTGGCTCAAAGCAGCCACGTGTGCTTCTAGCCCTCCCATCAGCCTGCTATGATGCAGATTCAAAAGTGCCACATTCCCTGGACATGTGCTAAAGGCCCTTTGGAAAGCGTTGAGTAGTGAGCAGGAGTAGACCTCTACCCCAGGAGTTATGTACAGTTCTACTAGTCTAGCTAAACTCCTGGCAGCTGCTTACATTGTTTGTGAGACTGTGAAAAGGGGAAACTGTATCACGAAGCATTAGAGCCTACCCTTGGATCTCTGAGCATGAAGAGCCACAGCCATCAACAGCAGTCACCTGAGCACGCACTTGATGTCCTAACAAACAAGCTGGTGCCCTAAGGAAGCAACTACGTCTTTCCATTGACTGCACTAAGCTTTAGAAAAATCTCTTCAAGACAGCAGTGGAGTTGAGCCCAAAAGTCAGACATTGAGATGAGAGTTCCCCCAAAAGAGCACAGCATGCAATACTAGTTTAAACGCACTTAGGCACAGCAGTTGGTTTTCAGTGGGCTAGGAGGTTATCACTTTGCTCTGTTTTCTCAACGTAGTACTAGAAATAAAGGAATAGCAGGGCTGTCACCCATCTGCAGGACGGTCTAAAGCAGTGTCCCAGATTTTATTTGCAACAATTCCTTTTCATTATATTTTAGGGGCAGAGTGTTTCATTCAGATTTCCTGCTATATACCCTCTTGTCTGTAATCGATATGAATGCATACTGATGAGTCCTTTTACTCTTCCAATTCTCTCCCCCATCCACAAGGGGAGAGTAAGCAAGTGGTTGTGTGGTGCTTAGTTATTGGTTGGGGTTAAACCAAGACACTTGGTCAGTCACTAAAGAGGATGATGCTTACCGAGAAAAACAGGAACATGCATTGTTCAGTGCATTGCTGATCTCCATTGAATGCATTTGGTTTGACTTTTATCAGTGTTTTGAGTGTTTTACTAGCAATCTCTCAACAGCCCCCAATGTGCAACTGTTCCGTTATTTTTCTTTATGCCAGTTAGATTAAGCCAGTTTAGATATGACATAATGTGCTACCATAACCTATGCCATTTTGCTGTGTAGGCACAGGTATTTCAGGCAAACTATTCAGTACAGTTAATTTATTACCTTAACAATCAACAGAAAGGCAGTAGGCAACGATCAGAGTACGATTCTGTTCCTAAAACAGATTTAGAATGTTAGAATGCGTCCCTCTCAAGCCAAATAGTTCTAATAATAGACTATAGCAGCTTCTGGAAACATTAAAACTACACCATCTCAGCTATGTGAGCACAGACAGCAAGTCCAACACCTCTGGGACATGTCCTGTTTTTTACTTTATCTACATCAACATTTTCAGGACATCAGCTTGCAAAAAAACCCACTTCTAAACCAGTGGAGTTTCCTTTAAAATTTGATTAATGCAATATGAAAGTTCAAACAAAAAGTTATTCTCCAAACACCTGGAGTCTTTGTGGCAGTTAAATGCATTTACTCGCATAGCTAGGTTATCAGGACTTACACTGAATTCCATATAATATAAATACAAAGTTAAAGGAAATCTTTCAACTCCTGTACAACACCTTATACCTTTCTAGGCTCCCATTTGGGAACCTAACAATTCAATTCCCTTAGCATCTTCTTCTCTATTTACTTAAAGGTTATAAAAGATTAGCCTAGGTTTTGTGTAAATTATTAACCCTGACCAAGAATTATTTGCATCATGATAAAGGAATGAAGTTATGAGAGAAAATTAAAATACCCTTCATTTCTGAGAGTAATAAGAACTCACAAACATTAACTGAATAAGAAACAAACTGTTTTGTCTTTATCCAATGACCAGTTCAATGCACAAAAATTAACCCCATTAGCACCCTGTCAGTAATTTTGCAAAACTGGAATATTCAGTTGCCAAATAAATACAAGTGGGTGCATCCGTTGCTCAAGACTGTTAATTGTTGGCACCTCAACATCATACCAAGGCAGGAAAATATTTTCTTGAAAAGAGCAGAATGGACTGACCTCATCTTTCAAACTACGGTTTTTTTGGAACACTAACCCAGGTGCCCATTACAGTCCAACAAATATTAGTATAGTGTCACCAAAAGGTTAAAACAACAGAAGGTAGAAACTTTTTACTGCAGTTTCAATGAGTATCTCAACTGTCCATTCCCACTGGCAACAGCCAAATATTTAAGAATAGTTTTGAAATGCTCTTTGTGCCATCCAGTATATATTACAACTGTTTACAGACGTTAACTAAGTATACAAAATTTTTGTATGAAATGTACACACTAAAATACATCTTAAAATATCATAAAACTGAAATTGAAAAGTTGAGGCATAGAAACAATCAAAAAGTTGAATCACTTAGAATCAAAAGTTTTTCACTTAGATACTACAAACCAGAGAGTCAGCGCAGATAACATTATTGTTATTTTTTGAACTTTCTACTAAGGTTTAAGAGAATTTACTGCTTTCAGGACAATGTCAGTGTAAACAACTACAATGACAGTTGCAGAGCAGAATGTGCATCTGCCATGAGAGAATCTGGGTCAAAGCAGCAGTGCTATGAAACATCACCCACATTATCTTGTGCCAGAAGAAACGCTGAAAAGAGAACAGCCTAGCAAGCAGCTGTTAGGCCAAAAATATCCAAAGTTGTATTTATTAAAAAAATATTTGCTCTTGGACATTACCCTTTGGCTCCTCTATCCCTAATTAAGAGAGAATTTCATAAGTAGTCAGTATCTTTCCTGTTTAATCACCACTGCCCTAATATGAATGAGAACTATGAAAATGGCAGAGAAAATACAAGCTAGTGAATTATTAAATATTTCAACATTTTAGCCTTAAAAGGTTACCCAGAAAAATAATTTTATTATGCTAAAGTTTATGTTTACTTCAAAACTAGATAGTTTGACATACAAAATAAATGAGTTCTCCTTATCAGGAAAACACACTTGTTTTATTCACGTTATGCCCCTTCAGCAGTATCAAGTTTTATTAAACCATAATGTCAAACTGCACATAGCTGTTATAGTATAGAAAAGAATGTATGTAGTTAGCACATTAGGAAGGGCAATGTAAATCTTGAAAGAACTGTAGGGCTATTATGCTACTAAATCCACTGAAATCTGAAAAATGTGATCCAACCTCATGTACATGGATGTGTCATGCTTTATAGAAGATTATTTTTAACATGTAAAAGCCTATAGATGTATTATCCTCTCTCTAGTAACCAAAATGTGTTTCAGTGCAAAATTTTATAGTCTTAAAAGGGGAAAAAAGAAACCATTTACAAGCTGACAATAAAACTGTCAGTTTTCAAGTCTCCTAGCTACCAGTGCGGCCGATCAACATAGCTTATCATCCATAAAGTTCAATACAGGTGCAGGTTTGGGTTTTTTTACACTTAATCTTATTAAGACAGTCAAGATTTGCAAACACACAGCCACTAACAAGATTTGTAATGGAGCCTGAAATCCACAACAATTTTGTTAATAATATCATTAATTCACATGCTGTATGGATATAGATACAAGTAGTTTATCCAGACACCATAAAGACGTAAGCACGTAAATCCAAGTGAACTCTATCTTAAAACATACATTTAAATAACTGCAACAACATATTTTTGCAAATAAGTCAAATGACAAAAGATAAACAAGCATGTAGGTATATATGCATATACACATGCACACACACTCAACATATGCATGCATAACAGGTCTTAAAAATAATCCTCAGAAGTACTTCATATGGCTCAGACTCAGGATAACTTTTCTCACCATTAACTCTCAATAGGTTTTAGAATCTTACTAGAGACACCAACAGGCTAATTTTTCATCCAGGAGACTGGAGTTTTATAGCAGATTTGAAAACTCAGATGCAAAAAAAAATCTGCTGTGCCTCATGTTGGGGAAGAGAGGGTGACAGCCACCAACAATATTTGGCATTTTCCATACCTGAGGAATCTTACATCTACATACAGTCTGAAAAGTCTGAAAGTTAATTTTGACCACAGGCCACAGCGCTAACCTATGAATGCCTCTTTCAAAGCTGTTCAGTTTTCCCTCCATTTAAAGGCTAGGATGGAACTGACACTTAGAATATAGCAGTGTTAGCTTTCCACATTATAAACACAAAAAAATCCAAGATTGGTATTTTGGCTTCATTGCAGAGATCTGTACCAGGAATCTACATCCTGCTAAAATGAACTTTGAAAGGCCAAACAAAGCAAAGGTCTAATGCATTTCCAAAGAAAATCTTTTAGAAATAAATAAAAAAGGATGAGGAAAAGTACAGTACACTCACCAGGCGTGTATTAACAACGGGAAACAGCAATGCCAAGAGGGCCCCATTCAACATATGCATCTGCAACCTTAGAAAAGTGGTATTATTTTCACAGATGGAACTAAAATGTAATGTTTTCACATATTTTAGGTAGTATCTCTTCGATAAAAGGTAGAAAGTAATTTAAGAAAATTCTCTTGGCTTTTTTTTTAATAAAGCCACTGTTAAATACAATAACCAGATACTGTTAAATGCAATAACCAGTACGAAACCCGCTCTTTAAATATGCACTTAAATAATTTCCTAAAGTAGGACTGCTGTCTCTAATGAGTTTTGGATTCCTAGAAAGCCTGGACTGCTCATTTGTGTTAATCCTCTTCATGATGCAAGCTGCTAAGTAGTTGGAATTTTCCTGTTCGTTTGTCTTTCAGAACTTAAAATAGCATACTTATAAAGATTTTTACTCCTGTCTAACTCTATAAACGTACAGCTTCAAAGTAAAGCTCCATGAATTTTGTATAGCTTTTTCTAAACCACTGTTGCATCACAAGAACACAAAAATAGTATCAGTACTTTACATAAGACACAAAGTAAAGAACAAACTGGCTACAACTACTGCCTGTCATAAACTATTAGGAATTTAGAAGTAACTTGAGGGAGGAAGAAAAAGGTATTACAATTTCAAAACAGCTTTTCAAATGTAATTTATATGCTGTCAGAGTGTCAGAAAACAGAAAGGCTCACTCTGAAGAACAACAAACACTGTGGCCTCCACTTTGCAACTGGTCTTTTTGCAAATGCAGAGTAAATCCAGGATTTCCTGGACACCAAACGTACTTTTCACAGTCTCCGAGATGGAGATGCTAACACAGTATTCAGCCTATTCCCTACCCAGATAAGGAACAGCAGGAAAAAGTTGCAGACAGACAATAGCAGTTCCAAAATAATTCATAAGGCATGCTCCTAGCATCATTTTTCCAGTCACTGCCTGGACTAAGACAAGAAAGAGCCAAGTTAAGTGTCATGGTGACAACTGCAGCCACTCCTGATCACCATTCTGCCTGGGAAGTCCTGTGACCCTCCCCACAATATGACTAGTTACACCCCTCAGCTGCTTACTGGACTCTACTGCAGTAGTCCGTTAGAGCTTCCTGCACTTCAGAAACTCTTGCGGTTCCTGAAGTTAGCAACAATATGCAGTATCTCAGAAAAGATGGCATAGATTTGAAAAATACCCAAGTCAGCGAGAATTTGCTTTCACTATTTGACTTATATCCACAGTTTAAAAACTAGATCCATATTGCATGCATGGCCTTCAATGAAGCCCAGCTACTAATTTTTAGCAAAGGTAACAAAAAGGTACAAGGCCCATGACATTAGTCTGTAGACAGATGCCTGCATTCTCATCTGGTACTGAGCTCATTCATGTTGCTACACGAAGTCAAAACCACCAGTACAAAAGAACCAAGGGTATGTTGCTCAGCACCCACAATTTAAGCCCTGACCCTTTTCAATGTGTCATTTTTCAATCCAATCAATATGCCTTTCCAACTGGATATATATCTTAATATTTAATGGCTTAAGCTGTCATAACTTCTAAAATACATTATGCAAGGAGACAGAAATATTGTAAGGAAGAGGCATTACCTGAAGAGAATCATTGCAATCCGACATGGAGGACAGGCAAGAAGAAAAATCTGAAAAGTTAGAAATAAATCTAAATTAATGATACGATCTCTTTTAGACTCCATTTTCTATATCTTTCTTGGGAAAGAAAGATGTGTGTTCTGTGTGTCACAAATCATTTCTAACCAGAAGAACTGTTTTACAGCAGAGCTAGAAAAGACTGAAAATCTTCAACAAATTAAAAGGTCTCACATTACTCACATTACTACACATAAAAGGACTGAAGTGGTATGAGCAACATCTAGGGTTTGGCTTCTGCCAATGCCTAAGAAACAAGTCAAACTCTAGAGTGTTTGATACTGTCATTATAAAAGGTCTCTCATAAAGCAGATTACTGTATTACCATTCATTTTACTACGGCAGCTCCCTTAGGCCATACTCCTACCATAAATAGCACCTGATTTAAATGTTTATGTAATAAAGTATCATTGATTTGCAACAATGCCCCATCTAAATTTAGAGGATAACTATCATCTTTTGATACTGCTGTCCAAAACCTCTCACAGCAACTTAATAAACTTTGTATCAGCAAGTCTTACTCTAGATTTGAAGTGACTACTACATAAGTGTCCAGTGACAAAAATCCAATTTTTTTATATTGTCCACTACTGCAAAGAAAAGACTTTGGCCTACTGTCCAATAAGTATTTCAGGAAAAAAAATGAATCACACTTTTTACTGCCAACCTACAAAACAAATTATCATTAAATCACTTCAAGAGAGAGGATTTGGAGATGTCTGCTTTATGGATAAGTCAGATTAGACAATTCACCAAATATGTTTCTTTCAAGTGTTGCAGGGCTGGGAAGAGGCCTCGGGTGTATATTCAAATTAACTACTACCAGATCACGTACTCGCTGCAGCAACAGTAGAAATGCTGAAGCCTGCATCATACTACTGAGCCCTTGAGTATAACAGGGGCTTGCTGTCATTACCATACAAATAAATGTACAAATTCCAGATATTTTCTTTCCAGTGCAAGTTCTTAATATACAAACTTACTCTGATCCACTTACTTGTACATTTAATTCAAGTCAGTCTCAGTAACAGTTTAGAATACACATGCACACACACGTAAATTGTTTTTTGTAAGTCATACAGAACTCTAAGGAAGGCACAGCAAGAAAGAGGCAGCAATTAAATTTAACTGAATATACCTCAAGACATTTTGTTAGTGAATACCATTAAAATCCAATCAGAGTTTCTCCAAAGTCTTGTATTTAAAAAGCAAGTAATTTCCACTCATCAGAGCAGGTTAAAAAAAAAAATAATTAAAAAAAATATGCGTATATGCCAGAAAAGTTTTATGAGAGCTCTACATATCACCTTGCACATAAGACCCATATGGCTTCTGGGGAAACTTATTATGCTTCACTATTCCATCATCACTTATTTTTGCAATTAAAGTTGTTTACTGAATAAATTATATTTCCTTGAATTGTAGACTATATTTTCCCCTCTTTGGCGACCATAAATATCTTCTACAGGTCTCTTATAATAACTATTTCTTTCCCATGCTACTTGCATGCATTAGTCAAACTTTTTAAATATTCCATGTTGTATGGAATGTTTAAAAGAATAAATTATAATTAGAGTCTCACTAGTTCATCCAGTTTTAAACACAGATTATTTTATTATTTCCTTAAATTCAGAAATCCGACAGAAGATATGGGTTACTTTTCAAACAGAGCTCAAACTGTCGTGGAAGAAACTCTGCTCTTCCAATGTAGAATATTTTTTTTCACTTCCTACATCTTAAAAACAAACAAACAAACCAACCACCACAAGATTGACCTTTTTCTCTATATGCATAAAATAAGCAAACCAGAAATATGTCTTAATCACACCAGTCATTTCTTTTTCCTGACACACTGCAGAGTGCTCCAACTACCACATTGGATAGCAAAAACTACAAGTCTGTATAGTGTTTGAAACTTACCACTGAGGATAAAAGATAAGACTGGTACAAAGACTGAGATGGCCATGCCAATCTAAAACACTTCGCTACCATGGAGATAGGCAAAGAAGAGAATAGCATTCATAGCTGCTTATTTTTACATCAACTCTACTGCAAGAAACAGTTTCAGGAACCAATGAGGGAAAAATAAATATTTAAGATTTTTAAGCATGCAAGTTCCTCTGTTATGAGGGATCTTTCAGAAAAGAAGCCTGACTTCTATTTTTTATGACAGCAGAGAAATCATAACTAAAAGTTCAGGATAATGAAGAGATCTTCAAATGTTTCAGCTTTAGCAGTTTAATATCAAGCACTTTCTCTCTAAATACGTATATACTTTCTGTGATAAATAAACCTCAAGTTCTTAAAAGGGATGTTTTACAAGACACCCTTATATCTGATTTTCAAAGAACTGTATCACTTAGTAGATTCAAACATTACAAAAAGCGTCATCATTCAGCTCGGAGTAATTAGCAGTCTTAAAGTATCTAGTTCACAGCAGACAAGCTCACAAGCTCTAAAACAAGTGTTCACATACTTATCTCATAATCATATTACATTTCACTGTCAAACTGGAAATAAAATCCTCTGCCTCGCAGGAGGAAATGGCTATGTTTTATAAAGCAAACACCACCACATTAAATTAGCGGCATGGCTGTGAAGAGTTCCCAGCCTCTCTTTTCCTGCCGGGACTCTCAAGGTTTTACGCACTCAGGCTAGCACAAACGTTAGCCCCCCCTTTGCTGGCACACTGCAGAGTTCTAGTGTCAACAGTGCAGCGGATCTTCTCAAGCACACTGAAGCAGGCTTCTCTTTGGTCAAGGCAGAATAACTCAACTTTCAATTTAGAAGAAACACTAACCAACAACTTCAGTGACCTTCCTTATTCAGTCAGATCTGTTACCCGTTATATTTTTACATTACAAACAAAAAGAACAACAAAAGAATTAACTGGAAATCCAAAATGTACAAAAGTAACTATTTTGGGAGGGGAAAAATAAGCTATAAAATATGTATTGAGTCTGAACTTTCGGCACAGTTCTGATCATTCCCTTCCTCCCTCTCTCGCTCAAAAAATAAAGCAGCTTTAGAAAAGGGTTACAGTGGTCAACAAGAATGACCAAAAAGTACAGAACATCTTTCATACATGGATTGATTTAACACATTAAGACTCTTCAAACTGTAAAAGACTACAGGCTAATGAGAGTGAGAGAAAGTGAGGGTACGAAATAATGAGTGGCCTTGAGGAAATATATAGATAACAAGTCCTAGGTGGGGACAATATTGTGAGTCAGGATGTCCAACTCTTTTCACCAGCACAAGACAACTGTTCTCAGGCAATAAATTGCAAAGAAACCTGTAACACTTCTCAGTCTGCAGAATGAAGTTCACTTCAGCCTTGAGGACCCAAACAAAAACAAGTCAGAAATTCTGTCAACGTACTTCACAATTGCTCTGCAAGACCATAAACATCACTGTCCATCCCCAAGGGAAATATTTCTGGCACGAAGAACTGCATGGCCAGCACTCCCCTGCACAAATCCGAATACAAAGGTCACACCACAACACATGACAGATCAGCAGGGCTGTTATAATTTGGAGACTGTAACGTACAGGATTGCACTGCTTAATGACTTCTTCACTGAGACAAGATCTTAAAGAGACTGAACTCATGGTTGCTCTGAACTAACCCAGGACTGGGCTGCAAATCAGTCTCTTCCACTTTCCCTCCTTCTAACCACGCACTAAGAAGACAAACCTCCAAATGATATCTAGAGGTCTGGGACAGACTGGAAGGCAGAAAGAAAAGCATGGTATTTTTCCACCTGTAGTAATATGTTTTTTTAAATTTTCTAAAAGAAACATGTGCAACCACATTGTTCAGTATATGATGGAGATCCCAAGAAATACCTTTTGAGTTCAGTAAACTTTACAGATCATTATTTCCTTAAAACTGCTTGCAGTACTCATTTGTGTCAGTGTAGCACGTAGAAGATCTGTATGTAAAAGGACTGACTATTCTGAAGGCAGTAAGAAGATAACGTTGCACTAATTTATTCAGAAAACTTATTTGACAGCAGTAGGTAGATATCACAAAGTATTACACTGGCCCTCCACAAACCCCTGTTAAGTCACTCCCATTTTAATCACTAAGAGACAGCCTAGCCAAACAAGGGAAATGGTACTGTTAAAAAGGAACTGGGTAGATGGGCAAAAAAAAAAAACCAGATAATTTTTCACAAATTCATTTTAGAAGTTAGAATTCACAAAAAAATATTACTCCTTGACATTGCAACAGTGTCTCTAGGTAAAAGTCAGTCTCACATGCATGGAAAGAGGCTAAAATAAACTGGTATTTTGCAGCAAGTTAGGGGTTTTTTTACTGATTATATCTGTTTTCCTAGTGCCAAAATATGACAGGAATAGGTACCTAAATTTCAGATGTGTGGAAAAAATCCAATACTGAAACAAACACCCCAAAAATTCAGAAAAGCCTGCAACATCATGAAACCAAAGAGAGCTATGTTAACTTTAATCTGACCTCTCTTCAATACAATCCAATTTCCTAATCTCTATGCACTGTGTTAACCTCTAATAGTATTTTCACTTCTTGCACTTCAAGTGTTACATGTGCTGCAAGTACCACATTAATTTGGAGACATTGGAGGTTTCCATTATTTGATTTTTTAAGTTAATACAGAAAGAGTTATATTCAAACAATGTCTTTTACAGTTTGCACATCTAGACTTCAGCAATGGGCAAGTGCATCAGTATAAACAGGTGGAAAAAAGAAAAGAACACAAAGCAGCAAACATATCTGGTTTCCTATTTTCCATTTAACTGCATTGCTAGATTAAAAATGGTAAGAAAGGAAAAGGTTTTTGTTGGTTTATAACTGTGGTTTTTTAATCCAACAGTGCCTCTATAGTACACTTCTTACGGATTATTTTTTGGAGGGGAAAAAAGGAGGGCTCATGAGGTGAGGAAATTTTACCAAATCGGCCTTATTACAACCCCAACGTACTCAGATATTGAGAAACTCAAATTTCAACAT